AAACCCGGATTATAACAATTCTTATGAAAGGAGGATTTATCTGCTAGTAATTAATGAAATTACAGAAAGAAATACCTGCAATATTTACATAATAACTTCTTTTTTTTTTTAAATTATGTGGGAAACGTGTTACAGGAAAAGAAACACACAAAGTTTTGGCAGATGTACTGATGAAATGAGAAGAGTTTCCCTTTAAGCAGTGACTGAGAGTCAGAGCTTGGGTGAGTGCTGGGAAAGCAACACACACTGAACTCACAGATCTTCACACACTGACATCTCCACAACAAGGAACAAAGGCCTGATGTGGAGCAGAGCATCAACACAAAGAACTTGCAAACAAGCAGGAAGATTGTAGTGTGGAAACAGAGATCCAGCCTGATCCCACAGGTACCATGTAAACCCCATTCCTAGAAAAGCAGTTCAGAAAATTAATCTGGCAGCAGAGTTGATGTAACACAATTAACACCACTCGGCTTCAGAGCTGAAGAAAATGAGTCAAAGGTTCACAGTGGATGATAAATTCTTTAGCAGTCCATCATCCCTGAGCTTCACAAGTGAAGAAAAGAAGTTTCCCCTCTATAAAAGTTATCCAGCTTATACAATTTAATTATTAAACAGATAATTCCTCAGATCTATAAGCCTAGAACACATAAATAATTAGTTCCCATTATTCTATGATTTATTAACTGCAGACATATTTTGAAGAACTGAAGCAGAATAATGTTTTACACATATTCTAAAGATGTTGATTTTGCTAGAGTTTACTTTTGTCATATTCCTACCTTTTCTGTAACAGATATTCAGAAATAGCAGAGGGAAGGGGGAGGAAAAAATAACCAAGCAAAAATAACCCCTTCCTGAAATTTTTCTTCTTTACTGTGCAAAATTTTACAAGTAGCTGAACTAAAAAAAAAACAGCCAACGAAAAAAAAGAAGTTATCACAGCCTGAAATCTAGGAAATCACAGACTTCAGTCATACAAGTGAAAAAGTCACACATTGCCATCACTACTTGCATTCCATTTCCTTACTTCACATATTATTTTAATGACAAAATTATATTCTACCATTACAATGGTCCATGATACTGCCATAAAATAAAAATTTCCACTTCATTGATTAAAAAAAGAGGAATGAAAGAACTTATCAACTGCAGATCAGATGTTCCAATCTCACAACTGCTTTACACTGAAAAGCTGCTCTCTTTTCCAAGAGTTTAGCAGAACAACACCAAAAAAAAAATAACAACTTGTATGAGATGTCATCAACTGATGTGAAAATGAGTGTCTCTCTACACCTGAGAGCACCAAGGTGCAGTCAGTTGGTAGCTGAGCAGGCAGGACTTGCTTGGGCAAGACCTGCTTGCAAACAGGAACGAGGCAGGAACTGTTTATGGAATCTACTTGGGGGATTTATTTACGTGTTGGGTTGTTTAAATGAAGGTCTGTGGAACAGCATGAATTCAAACAAGCAGACACACCTGCAAACAGAAGAACAACCCCCTCTCTGTGCTGGTTTTGGATTCTTGGAAACCAGGATGGAAAAAAAAAATAAAAAGGGGGAGGAAATCAATTATTTACAGGCTTATCAGCAACAAATAAGGGATCACAGAGCACGTGCAGACACTAGAAATCCTGAGTTCCCATAGAATATCCCTTCACATATCCTGAGAGGCACAACACTCCAAGGTGTCCACAGCACAACCAGCCAATGCCATCAGAGCAATCCAGGGACAGCCCTCTGTCAGCATCTGGAAACCATTAGAGCACACGAGCAAAAGGCTTTTTTCACAGAGCAATCACACTCACCATATGCTGAGGAGAAATGGAAAGTTGGCAAGGAGAAATGTAAGCAGGGAAGAGGGGCAGATGACTTGTTACTAATGTACAGACTGAGAACCAACCAGCACATCTGACCTTTATTTTTCTTTTTCAGTCAGAGAGAAAATAAGCTATTTTTAAGTCTGGGTTATGGTGCACTTGTGTAGGAAAGCTAAAGGAAGATTTTAAATAAACTATGGTATGGACTAGGCTAGATCAGCTATTCAGTCATCCTCCTCAAAGAACTACTTCCCCTCTCTCCCAGAAAACTGCCCGTGACCTACACCAGTGCTGACCAACATCTCTGCACAGCCTGCACAGCTCAAAGCAACTGTGGAACTGTGTTGGAAGATGGATACCAACACTCCCTATGGCCCATTTTTTTTCCCACCCTCCAGCTCCTGCCCTTCTCGGGTCTCCTCTTCCCCACTTAACACCCAGAAATCACTTTATCAAGGACTGATCCAGCAGAAAGACTGCTAACACGATCAAGCTCGTTACACAGTCACCAGTGCTGGCACACAAAGAACCACCATGGCCAGAAGAAAAGCCTGACTGGCTCTTCCAACCTTCCTGGGATGGCCCAGAGTCCTCATGAAAGCCCTGGGCTGCCCTGGCACAGAGGGCTGGCCCACCCAGCACCTCCTCTGCCCACAGACCACACGTGCTGTGTTTGCACAGAGCCACCATGGGCAGGCAGTGGTTGTGTCACCACCAGAGAGGTCAGGCTGCAGGATGCCAGCATGCCCCAAACCAAACCATTCCCAGAAAAGGCAGCTGTGGACAGCAAAGGCAATCCACAGGCTGGGCTGTCTGTCCCAGGAGCAGCTCAGGAATGGAGAGGAGGCTGCAGGACAGGTGACTTTTGCTAGAATCCAGAACTCGTGCACCATGAGGGTTGGCCTCCAGGCTGTCCTCCCCAGTCACATTCCATCACAACCCAGCACGTGGCTGGGGAGGTAAAACCAGTCCAGAGACTGAGCTGGCAGTCAGGAACACGCAGTGTCACCCACAGACAGCTCACCTTGCCCCAGCACAAAGAGGACAACAAAGATGACTCGTCCTTCTGAGTCACAACAGCCTGCAAGTTGTGGGTTGGCTGCCCTGCCCTCATGAGTCTCTCTCCCTGTTCCTGTTTACCAAGGAGAGATTGTCTAATGGGGAAACAGAGGCCGTGAGATGTGCTGACAAATCACCAGCAAACAGAAACATGTATTGGAGAGAGAGAGGACAAGAGCTCAGCGCTTCAAATACAGCTAAGGTTGAACTGTGAGCACCACGGTGATAAAAGCCTGAGTTATTTGTGGTAGCTCAGGAACAGAAGAGTCACAGACATTTCTGCCAATCTGTTCATCCAAGGAATGCTGGAAGCAAGCCATCCACAGAATCATGGAGAGGTATGGACTGGAAGGGACCTTGGGATCTTCCTTCTTCATCCTTCTGCCCGAAGCATAAATAACTCTGAAACTTCTATCAGGTAGTTTGAGGGCTCCCCCAGGCAAATCTGAAGACAGAGATGCCAAAGCCTCTCCAGGCATCCTGTTCTGGTGCACAACCATTTTCATGAGGAAAATTCTTTATGTCCAGCTGGCATTTCCCTTGCCTCAACTTGTGACCCATTGCCTCTTGTCCTTTTGTTCCAGCTGACAACACTCAGGAGACAAGCACACAATGGCTCAGGAATTAAGTACCCAGCAAGCCTTAAGACAAAACTGCTCTACAACACTTTGAATGGAACAAAATGAGGGTTGCTGCAATCCAACCCTTCCCTCTCCCAGCTCAGCCCATCCCTTTATTGACTTGCCTTCAATTAATGTCAGGGAGCAGAACCCTAAAAAATAGTCCCCAGTTTAAAGAGAAAAAAAAAAGGCAATTTCTGACAGTGACGTCAATAGATTAAATCACCATTAATTATTTTGATGTGGCCAGCTTTAAACTAGTTATCTCCTTTAACCAGCTCACCACAGGACAGGGTAGCAGCCTGTCAGCATGAGGGAAGGAGCAGAAACATATGACAAATGCAAAGGCAGAATCCCACAGTCTTGACGTGTATCATCCTAAAGTGCTGTGGAACCACTCCCTGTGTGTTCAGCACAGACAAGGAGGTGAGGGGAGGGCTGGAACTAGAGATTGCAAACTAAATTCTCCGCTGCTCTTCAAGGATAAGAACCATCTTCCCCCTCCCCCCAGAAAAAGGTAGCAGAAGTAACAGATCAATCTACTGACAGATCTGATTTGTTCTGTGTTACCCAGAAACCTTGTCAAGGCAATTTTTCAGGGGTAGCCTCCCCTCTCCCAGAAAAAACCCAAACCAAACCAAAAAACCCACATACAAAAATCAAACCCAGTAAATAACCATGACCTCTTATCAATCAAGACTAAACCCATCAGGATAGGGAATGACCACCATTCAGTGAAAAGTAAGTTTCAGTCATCTTTCTTCCTCTCAAAGGATCCTGCTTCTATCTCAGTGCATGAGCAGTGGAAGGTCCAAAGCTAAGAAAAACTGACCCAACTTCAGTTTCTTACATGCACCAAATGGACTTCTGGATGCTGTACTTGCTCTGAAATATCCACCAGTAAAGGATTTTACTGATGCTGAGGCAGAAAAGTCCAGTGATGGCAAAGAGAGTTTTCGAAAGTCGTTTTGTTTGCTCCTTTAGCAAAAGCACCATTATGGGGCAGGTCCACTAAAGGGCAGGAGAGACAGAGAATGCAAGAGAGGGAGCTTTTCTGCCAGCAGTGGCAGTCAGAAGCAACCTGTGTCTGTAGTGCTCCCTCCCTCCCTCTCTCTCCCCCTGTGCTGGCACTGGGGTTTGCAAACTGAGCACAGGAGCACCCAGCCTGGAAAATGGGGGGAGGCAAGGGTGTGTGTTTTCACTGCTAGGATACCATGTGGTGGGAGGAAACAAAGGGAAGAACCACAGCATACTGGATTTAAATCCCCTTAGTCCTGTGAAAAACAAGGGAGAAGATAAAAATGTGGTCCTGACACCTCAGTGGCCTCCAAAGCTCAGGTTTCGCTACCACGGTGACACCAGCAACCCAAAACTGGCACTGCCTGATGCCAATCCAAGAACCCTCTTGGCACAGCGTGTCACAGACAGGCAGCATCTCCTGCCAGGCCCATTTCTTACCCTGCAATTTTAGTTGCTGCTGTTTATTAGCAAGTGTCAGCACCTGAGCAGAGTGCAGAGCCCTGAACTAACAACTGTGGGCAGAAAGACGACTGCTTTGAGCAAGATCAGCCAGAATTCCTCAAGGAACACTTCCTGAAATTCAGTGCACTGAAGTCTTTTTTAAGTAAGTCTTTGTTTTGAAACCAAATCACTCGCATTTTAAACCTAAATGTGAAATGCCATCACCAACTCCAGCAAGAGAAACACAGGGAATAACATCACATGATCTTCATCTCACTACCCCACACAGCAGAAATCAAACAACCATCTCCAGAGCAGAGGCTTTACACTTGAAATAACCCTTCTGGAAATGAGCTCAGATTCCTCTCCCTTTGCTAAAGGGCTTCCAGTGGAGTTTCAAGGGACGTGCTTTGCCACTTACACAGCTTGAAAACCTCTTTTCATTCCCTCAATCCCTTCTTTAGATGTCTGGACTTTTACTCCTTTAAACTGAAGTCACCATGGTGGAATAAACACGAGAGAGCTTCCTAGGAAGAGATCTCTGCCTCAGTTCACTGGTACAACACACAGAGCCTCTGGCAGGTACAATTCAAACTGCTGAAGCTGAGACACAAAAGCACCTTCTCAAGTGACAGCCAGGCAGCATCTACAATGGAAATTCACAACTACAAATCCCCAGCACCTCCATGGGCAAGGTAAAAGTTGGATTTGTCTCTACCAGCAAAACAAAAACAAGGCACAGGAATGGCTGAGGCATCAGAGAAGCTCTCAAAGCCTCCCCACTGCCCTGACTTTGGATCTGAGCTGTCAGCAGCTCCTGTTCAGATTGCTGTGTGAACACAACATGGCTCTGTGTCTTTGGAAGTATTCTGGAAAGTCACTGTAATTACAGAGTACAATAAAAACAACAATGGACCACTAATATAGAAAACTCTGATCTTGGGAGACAAGCAGAAAATTCCACTATCTCCCTTCAAGATTGGTCTAGACTGCAGTAAGGATTAAGTGCTGTTCAGTGACCTTTTGTGATGTGATTTCTTTGGAAAATTGTCTTGAAGTTCACCGCAAATGATTTCGATTTTAGCAGTTACATAAACTAATCAAGGGCTGGGTTTCAAACACAGACAAGCAGTTAAACGCCAAGTCAGTGGAGTGAAGGAATAAAGATGGTCTTTTCCCTGCATTTGTAAGGAATTCAGCCCAGCATCCACCTCTGCAGATAACCTAGTAATTATCACAGGCCTAAATGCAGCACAACTCGAGATCCTTTACAAGTAGGACACTTCTCAGTTCAACAATGACAGCAAAAAAATGCAACAGGAACAAGTCATCACTTTAATTTGGTTTTAAGTAGGAACACTTGCTGCCCTTCCCCACAACCCTTAAACTGGCCAGAGTTCAAATGTCATACTTGAAGGACTGGATTAATTAATTACAATCCCTCCTCCTGTGTGGCTTTTCCTTCCAGATAGTTACACCTGCCATATTCCTCCTTTAGCAATGAACAGTGTCAGGGACATCCACGCACAGAACAGGATGACACCTTTATAATGAGTAAAAATTACACCTACACTTGCAGCACAAACCCAGACCTTGCTAGAAATGCCCCCTTTCCTGCTTTCCCCAGTGCCCCAGTACTGCCATGACCACTCTTTACTGTGACAGCACCTCTCTAACAGCCCAAAATTTGGGCTCTAACAGCCCAAAATTAAGTTCAAGGCTCCTCCTTTCCGTTTCACTCCACTTCTGAGGCATCACAATTCCAAAAATCTGAGTGACCAGACCTTGCCAGCAAGAGGGAAAACTATTTCAATTCGAACTGCACTGGAGACCCAGAGCCCATCTCAAACAGCTCAGGAGGGAGCTGTTCAAGTGCCTCTGCCTCCAGTGCATTCCACCACACGCACATCTATTGACCAGGAGAACAAAACCTGCCCGGGCTGTACCTGCCTGGCTCCCCCAGCAGCCACAGGACCTCGAACCCTTCCGGAAAAGGAGGTCAGAGTCCAGCAGAGCTGCCAGACACACACCCCCAGCCACTGAGCTGGAACGAGGCACTTACCCATCTCTACCTTTACTGACGATCTTCACTTCAAAGTAATAAATGCCACAGGCTGCAGGGATGGGGTGTGTGGCCCTGACCGAGGCAGCATCTTTGTGATTTTTACCGTGACCTAAGAAAGAACAGAAATGTAAGTACTGAGGGGATTTGGCCTCTCACACACCCTGATCTAAAGCCCTGCTGCCTGAGCCCGGCAGGGACCTGCTTCTACACGGAGCCAGCCATTTAAAGCACACTTTTCAGAGAACCAGCACATACAGCCCTGCACTGCCACCAGGGACAACCCCTGCACGACCAGCTCTGTAGTTTTCCCTTTGCTTTCACTGTGGAGTTTCTGAGAAAGACTGTCAGTGCTACCTCTCCCCCTCCCCACAGACGTAATTTGAAGACCAACGTACACAAACAGAACACAAAAATGATTACACAAGAGGGGAATGACATCAGTGTTTACTAACCAGGGAGGAAAAGGAATAATCGGTTCTCCACTGGGTGGGTAGGGAGGACAGCTCCAACAGCGAGCAAGCAAAACATCACACTCCAAGCCTGTGAGCGGCTATTCGGTGTAAGCCCGAGCAGCCAAAGCCCCAGTTACGCGGCGTGTCGAGGCCATCCGGCCCCTTGGCCGGGTTTTAAGCCGGATGACAGAGTAAACAGGCGGTCTGGCTACACCCGGGCCCGGGAGGGCGACACTGCACAGCGTTATATAAGGCCCCACACTCCGCCGGGGAGAGCCCCGGGCCCCATCGCCTCCGCCCCCGAGCCCGGGCAGCCCCGCCGGGCCCCCGGGCCGAGCTCGGTCCCACCCGGCTCCCGCCGGTCACCGCCCGCGGGGCCCCTTCCCCGGGGCCGCCGGATCCGCCGCCGGCCCGGCCCGCGCCCGGCGGGCCCCGCGGAGCGGCCGCCCCGCTCCGGGCCGAACCCGGCGCCGCCGCCCCAGCCCGGCACCTTTGTAGTGGACGCGCAGGTTGCCCTGCGAGAGGCCGATGTAGTTGTACTTGTCCTTGGGGCTCCAGGAGCGCGGCAGCGGCGTCTCGTCCTGGTTGACGGCGGGGTAGAGGCGGCGGAGGCGCCGGCTCAGCTCCTGCTCCTCGGGCGGCCCCGGCGGCGCCGCGTCCCCGCCGTGCGGGCTCCCCGCGCCCGCCTCCGCCATCTTGGACCCGCTTTGTGTCAGCGGGCGGGGAGCGGGGCCCGGCCGCGGCTGGCGGCCAATGGGCTGCGAGCGTGCCCACAATGGGGCCGCGCCGCCCGACGGGAAGTGGAGTCCGCACCGCGCACCCCCGCCCGCTGGTGGCGCTTGCCCAGACTACAACTCCCGAGAGGCCGCGCGTTCGAAGCCCCGTCCCGCCCCCCGGCGCGCTGCACGCTGGGAGCTGTGTCCCCGTCTCGCTCCGGTCCCGTCAGCGCCGCCGAGCGCGGGACTCCCATTCCCAGCGTGCTCCGCGACACGGCGAAGCTCAAGGGCCGCCCCGCGCTTGCAGGCGCCCGCCGGCCGCCTCCGCGCACGGGCCGGGTTCGGCCGCCGCGCGGCGCCCGCGCGTCAGGCGCTGCGTGGGCAGCTATGAGGGCGCGCGAGGGGGTCCTGCGGGCGGGGACGTTGCCATGGCGACGGGTAAACGGAGTGCGCGCGGCGGGAGCGGGAGGGAAGAACAAACCGGGACTAAAGAACAAACCGAGATCAGCCGGGAGGGGCTCCGGGAACTCACACCGGGAATAACCATCGGCGAAGCTCAGAGGGCAGGGATGAGGGCCCCGCCTGACTCGGTGCAGCTCCCGGAGGCTCCTCCGGCTCCCAGCTGGGTCCAACCTCAGCCCTGGACTGGATCTGTTCTCCATTGCCTGCTGCATGATTTTCCCTTCCCTGAGAGAATATGTATATATATTTCTATTTAGACTTTGTATATATGTAAATATATAAAAATCTATTTTTATATGTATTTTTCTATATATTGACACTACAGTAAAAAAATTAAAATTCCTGCTGTGAAGCCACAGGCAGCAGGAAGAAAAACCAGACCCTTGAGCTGACTTATACTACGGGTTCATTCTTAGGTCTATGACACACATAATTCCATGTCTCCATTCTTTTCCCATGTCTCTGTAGCAATAAACAGGCCCTTGTCACCATTCCAAAGTCATGACTGTCAGAGCAACTGGAGTCCTACTTAAGGGAAGAGCTGCAGCCTCTTGCTCTGACTGAAGAGAGCTCCCCAGGAAGACACTGAAGGTGATGAAAATCACACGAGAGAAAGTTCAATCCCCATTTCCATCCCTCCGAGCCTGGTACATGTGACAGGCATCATTCTTCCCCAGCTTCTGAACTGTTTTGCAAAAGGTCACAGTCCTTGGCACCCGAAATCCTTTGCTGGGTCTGACCTCATTCCAGGCATGGTTTAGGTTCTGTACAATCCTACACCGGTTTTGTTCTGTCTCCCTCCATGAGGAGCACGAGGGAGCACAGCACAGACCACCTGTATGGGACCACCGTGGCTCCCCGGGGGGCTGAGCCACAGAAACCACCACGGGTGTGTCAAACACAAGCCCCTGGTTGGCACAAAGAGCATCACCACGGCTAAAGGCCTGTCAGGAACATTCTGAACACCACAGTGCAGCAGCCTCTCAGGTCCCTGGCATAAGCAGCACTTGCATCATGCAGAATACACACGACATTTTATTCCTCAGAGCTGTACAAGTATTCAGAGGTAACATAAAAAATTATGGGTAGTCAAACTGCGTGTAACAAGGGCTGGTGAGACCCAGCAGGGAGGGGTAAAAGCCACAGCACGACCAGCCCTTGCTCAGGAGAACGTTGAGCAGTCCCTGCCCGACTGGTTCCGTGTGGAAAACCATCACAGGGAGCAGGGACATGGAACACCCCAGAGGCAGCCCCTGGGAGCAGACCGTGAGCACCCCACAGGGGTCAGGGCTGCACCTTCACGTCAGGGGATCACTTTGTTTCCACTCACAGCGACTGGAATCAGGAGCTTCCTGTACTCCAGGGGGAGGTGACGCTCTATCAGCACGTTCAGCGGCATCTTGTCCGTCACCAGCCCTTGTCTGTGGCCAAGAAGAGAAGGGCAGAGAAGAAACAGAGCTGTTAGTGCAGAGTCTTTCCACTCAGCATCAGAGTAAAGCTTTCTTGCGGTGATGATTTTGCATTTAACAGCTGAAATGCTGTGGCTGCCTGTGACAGAGAAGGCACAGATTCCTGTTCTCAGGCAGTTTGTCGTGAGGTCCTGTGCACAGCACAGATTCCAGGCTTGCCCACACAGGGAAGCAGACCCAGAGGGTTCCTGCAGCTTCCCACAGAGCTTCCCTCTGTTCATCACGGGGATAATTCATCTATATTGATCTGTACCAAAGCAGAGGCTCACTGCTTTTTAAATTCACAACCCACCTACCAGGGGATAAATTTTACCACCGTTTGAAAACACACAGAGAATGATGTAACTGAAAGAAATAGCTCAGTACCCAGCAGATTTCTTTAGTCACAGTTCAGAGGTAGTTGGCATTTGCCAACTGTGTAGGCCAGGTAGTTTTCCAGTGCACCATTTAGCTGACTGGCATGAAAAAAAAAAAAATCAGCATCTTCCAGTTTTGTGGAAAGAAAAAAGCACAGCATTTATTCACACTTTGCTTGTAAAAGGAACAGAAATACTGTTCTTATGCATGAACCAGCAGCAATTCCTGATCCCTTTAGGAGGCAGTGGAAAGGCACAAAGACATCTAGAAAAAGGTGAAATAACATGAGCACAGAATCCTCAAACCTGGCCAACCAACCCACTGTGCCTCTCAGCCTGTTCATGCCAACTTCAGCACACACCTGTCCCTTGGGAAAATAAAATCTCTGGATCAGAACAGCA